GCGCTTGTCCTGCGTGCGTCTTCGTCTTTTCGTCCCGTCTTTTTTGCGCTATTTTTAATATGAATTTTTTTCTACTTTCCACCTGGGGCCTTTCTTTCCGGGGACATTTTGTCCGGGGACATTTTGTCCGAGGACTTCCGGGGACTTTCTTTGCGGGGAAATTTTTTCCTACACCCACATCCCACACTCAAGGTTGCCACCCTATCCACACCAAAGTTCAAAGCATAAACTCAACTCAAACCCAGAACATTTCGGCTCTGCCACTTGACCCCCCTTTTTTAAACAACTGCAGTTTGCGCACGACGTCCTGAACACTCATTTGGATGCTTTCAAAGACGAGCCTGCACGCCTTCTGCGAAACAGATGCGTCATTGACATTAACTCTGACACTTTCCCCTTTCAAGAAGAAAACACACACTTTACTTTTTTGGAAGGCCTTGGAAGCATTACTAAGCTGCAAAGATGCTGTTCTTGTCCTTATTTTAACTGTTTCCCTTACCACTCTTCTCGTGTCAATGTGTTTCTTGCGTAAGATTTCTGTTCCTGCTTACTAACTTGTACCATAACTGCATTCCTGGGCATGCTTCTCTCCTTCCGAGTTTGGAGCCTTGATTTTAACGTTTCGCCTATGCGGAATCTTACCCGCTTCTCTTTCGGGGAGAAAGAAAGGCGAAAAAGCGGTTACCAAAAAGGTTTCCCCGAAAAAATGTCTCAAAAAAAAAAAAAAGGTTCCGGAAAAAATAGCCCCAAGTAGCCAAACTATTCAGTTAGCTTCTCAAACGTATTGCGAAATGTTAGGCGAGCGACTGGTCCAAGTGGACAGGAGAAAACATAAACCCCCCGGAACCCATTTGGAAATGAGAGATGTAAAAACTACGCAAACTTGCCCCTAACACAGTAATTGCATTCTGTATGATGTGCTGTAGTTATTTTTAATTGTGTAATGAGACAGAGGTATTCACTTGGACACACTGGCGTAAAACGTAGAACGGAAGGTTTGGAAGCATTGTCGGTCACAGTCATGAGCCATCCAACAGTGTGGAAAGCCATCGACACCCTACGCTCAGAGGAATCGACCGGTACCATAAAGATGGCCGTGGACCCAGTCGGCGCTTCTCTCAACAAGAGGAGCAAGTCAGCGCTTGTCGAAAAGGAACGCCGTCCCAAGAACCTATGTGAGGAGTGTCATATGCCACTGAGATGACAAAAGTTGCGGACTTCCTGCGTGCAGTCGGCCATATCATTCGATCCTAACCGTTCTGCATGTGCTTAGGATGTTCACGTCAGTGTGTTGACGTGCATCTGCTAGCTTTTTGTTTTGTTTTTTCTTTTTTTTTACGATTTAAAAAAAAAAAAACAAGAAAAAAACATTACTTTGAACTATAGTGCGATTACAGTTTGGGGAGAACTTGGCGAGGTTATATTTCCCATTTCAAGTGGTTTCTGTGGGAAATAGATTTTCTTTACCATCTAGGACAATTTTTTTCTACTTTCCACTTTGAACCATTTCTTCCGGGGACATTTTTTTTTGTCCTACATCCTTAAAGCGTACGTAGTGGGAAGTCGTTCCCCGTTAGAGTGGAGTAGTGTATAAAATCGGTTTGGCCTTTGGACTCAAATACGTGGGCCAAACTTCCACATGTCTAAATTACAGATTGACCGAGCATAAGCGAAATGTGATCATGGCTTCCAACTAAGAAGTAGCGAAGCATGCCCAGGAATGCGGTAATTGTACAATCCAGTAGGCAGAAGTCGTGCACAAGGAACGCAATGATATGAAAAGTGTGGTACGAGAAACAGAACAAAGACGATAGGCAATTGCAGCGCAAAAACGCTTTCCTACAAATATAAATGTCTTTGTGTGTGTTTTCTTTTCAAAAGGCGAAGTGTCAGGTCGATGACGCATTTGTTTTTCGCGGAGGGCGTAACATTTTGTCTTTGTAGGCATCCATTATGAGGTTGCCGGACGACGTGCGCAAACCGCATTTGTTCAGAAAAGGAGGGGGAAGTGGCAGGGCTGACGTGTTCTGTGTTTGAGCTGAGTGAATACAATGGCCCTTTGTGTGGAAAGGGTGGCGACCTTGAGGGTAGGATCTAGATAAGAAAGATTTACTGAATAAGCTTTTAGTTGAGCTTGAGACTTTGCCTTTCTGCCACCTTTTTTTTTTTCTCTCCTCCACGGTGCTTTAATTTGTAGTTTTCTCGCCCCATTCTTGGGAATTCATCAAAAAAAAGTAAAATCATAAGAGGACCCCACTGAACCATATCCCCATATTGCGAGATGTTACGCGAACGACTGTGTCTACCTTGTGGCCTCCACCACCGATGTCCGTTCATTCACCCCTACGTTGACAGTGCGCCGGAAGCCAAGTGCTCGTCGGACCAGTCGTGCTATGGCTCCTGGAAGTCGGAACGCATCCCCGACTGGTGTGTATAGCGTTCCCATCCCGCCCATGCATCAAAAGTGTTCCCGAAGGGGCAACAAAGTGACGTCACAAAAGCCGGAGTGTCACCCTGTTTGATGAAACGATCCTGACGGTTGGTCGTAGAAATGCTGGAGAAAAACAGGAGCCAACGCAAGTGTCGCTGTCATTGCGACGTCCCTACTCCCGGCTGCCGGAGTTTCCGTGGACTGTCAAACTGGAAATCGACCCGCAGCAGAACAGGCGTCTGCCACATACGCCACCACCATGATCGCGACCGGCGACAACATGACACTTATACGACGTCATCAGGCAGAAATCGATGTACCAATTCTTCCCCCGTTAAACACCCCTGTCGGAGGCGCGTTCCAGATACCATAGTCATTCATCGGGCTTTCGCCACGTGATGCCGTTCTTTCAGCATAGGGGTGTTTAGCGAGGAGGGGATAAGCCTAGCTGATCACCTATGTGAACCCGTTCCCTCCTCTGCCCCGTGAACGATTTGTCCTCTTAGCACGAAGGTCACAAGGCCCTAAGCTGAGACAGCAGTGGGAGCTACGTGCCCTCCGGACCAATTAGCCGCCTTCCTCTTATCACCTGACACGGCTCTTTGCGCGTTGGTAAGGGAGGAGGCGTGATGACGTGCGAGAGAGAGGCGTATGATTGGTCCAACGAGGACGTAGCTTCCGTCACAGTCGCAGCTTGGGGGTGAACGGCGTAAAATCCATATCGGAGGTTATGACTAACCCTAACACATTTAGAAGAAAGAAAGAGGGAGAGAGTTTCTCTAGTTCGACTGACCTCCGTGCCCTTACAGGCTACGCCAGTTCAGACAACGTTGAAGGTTGAAGCTTCCAGACGCATTCTGAGGCTGCTGGACTTGGAGACCGGTAGCAGTAACTGGAAAGTGTTTTTGCGAATACACCCTATCGGCCAGCGAGTGCTTGCACTAAAGTTCGTTAGAAGACTGCGATTGCCGTTTGCATCCTTAAAAAGAGTATTATTCGAGGAGCGCGCCAGGATGCCAGTAAGCCGATCGACCTCGTGTTGTACATGTTCAGCGTATTCTCAGGTTTGTCTTTTTTTTCTTGAGTGTTTTTATTTTTTTAGCCCACGCGGTCCGTTTTGGGAATACAGTGCTCTTCCTGCAGTGATGTCGCGCACATCCGGCCTCCAAATAACGTTTCTAATCATGGCCACGGCTGGCACTGCCAACTAAGTGATGATATGTTTTTTCAACTTTCTCAAGAGTAATACATCCACATCACCTAGACTCATCGAAGCTTCTGAGCAGACTGCTCTATCTTCACGTGAGGCTACTTTGTTACACTAAAATGGGTGCCAACTCATCAATTAGGCAACAGCCTGACACCGAAAGCCGTTCGACGGATTGGTTAGACGCTGACTCAGCGCTCGTGTCCAACCTTTGTCTGCGCTTCATCTCACCGTGATGTCGTTGAAATTTCTGGTAAACGGACTGATGATTCTAGGTGGCAGCCGACGCTACGAGCTAATGAGACCGATTAGGCAGCTTCAAAAGCGCAAGTCATCGGCCTTTTCTGACACCATGATGGTGCGCTTTTGACAATGTCCGGCTGGTTCCACCGCGACTGTACAAAACGAAGTGTCGTGGATAGTATTATACTCACTGACAGCTTGATTAATGATTAGTTCAGAATGTTCGCGTCTAAAAAATTCAAACTAACGCAATTTTTTTTTTTTTTTTTAACGCTGACAGATTGCGCAGTTTACACGCCCAAGGAAGTTATCTTGGTGGCACGATGTTTTTGCGGTACGCAATCTCCTCGCACTCGTGTGCTTTTTTTTTATTTTTAGAAGTGATATGCTATGGACAACGACGAATTTTGCCTGACGGTGTTCGCCCTGAACCGGCGTCAAGACAGGGCGGCCGCGCTCGCAAAGCGAATGTGCCGCCGGACGTCGGGCTAGATTCGTCACCACGTAAAGGAGACCAACACGGGTCGCAAGTTGGCTACGGCGTCAGCATTCGAGTGGAGGCTTTTGTTCCCACTCAATGAACTCGATTGCCAGCCGAACACTGAGGCGGCACTCGCGTCAATCTACTCCCGCGTTTGCCTGTTGCATGTAACCCCACGGAAAAGGTCGAGAACGAAGTGAAATCGCTTTGTATCTCTGTGTGGAGCAGTTTCTACTTCACTTTGGCCATTTTTTTCCTACGAGATGTTCTTCCCGCCGTTTAGGCATTCTTTCCTTAGCTTGGGGCAGCATTTAGGTCGAACGCTCGTGTTCCTGGCTGTCAAGCATCAATAGGAAAGCCCGCAACGACAGACACTCGTAGGCTCGGGTCAGTCGAGCAGTGTTTATTGTTTACTTCGCCGTGCTCCGCGGGGATCTTCTCCGATCGCAGCCCGTAAGACGAATCCGATAACGTAGTCACGTGCCGTCGCGCAACTGTCGTATTCTGTCGTCGCGGGCTTAGTCAGAGCGACCGGCCGAAGCAACGCGATAGCACGCACGTTGGCAGATGCCGGGGCTGTCGCTCGCAGACCGCGGTTCTGCCTTCAGTTACTCGATGGAACGCGCTCTTGCCCACAGGAATCCATGTCTTCCTGGGCCGCCAGGCGAGTGAGGAGGTTGCTGACGCCATCGCCGTCTGTTGCATCGCTCAGCGTCGCGGTCGGAACTGAGTACGTATACATTTGATTTCACCTGTGGATTGTTGATCACTTGACTAAATGGAGGGGACTGCACCAGTTTTTTTCGCGAAATCGCAGGCTTGAGGAGAACGCGCTTGTTGAACGTGCATTCTGCTACTAGGGCTGGGATATTGATTTGCTAACCTTCCGATTAATTATTTTAGCCGTATCGGTTGCTCCGAGGCAAGGTCCCGGCCTGCGGATGTCCAGGTGGTGGGTTTGAATCCCGGCCAACAAGCCCGTAATCTAACGGGGGCTTATTGCGCAGAATGCACGGTGTAACCTAGATTTCGGTTGCATGTCGAAAGATCCCCAGGTGGTCGAAATGAATGCCATATGCCCTTGGCTGGGGCGAGCCAGGTGGCCTTCGTTACTTTGGCACGTAAAACTCCCAAATTTGATTCGTTTTTGATTTGATCCGTTAATGACTTTATTGCGGTCAATTTTTGTTCCCGGCTGATCTTGCCGGGGAAAATAGCTTTGATGGTGCAACATGTTCGCTTCAGACGGTGCGCACCAGCAGCAAGACCACCGCAATGGAAGGTGTCATGGTGTCCATGCGAGCCATGCATACACCATTAAAATGATACATTTTCGGACGTCACCATTCCAAGTAGCAACTGAGTCGGACTAAATAAAACATGACCAAATAGCAAAAAAAAAACACGACGGACAATGTGTGTGATTAGATAATGCCTTCGTGTTTCCGTGCTTTGGTTGTTGCTAATTGAAAACACATGCAACATTCGTGCTGTTTTTTTTTTTTTTTTGGTACTTTGTTTTTCTGCCGCCGAGACAGAGTGCCGAGTTGTGAATTATGCCAAACTGGGAGCTGACTTTCTCTGCACGTTGAACCAACCCAGTACCACGCTCACGTCTGTAATGCTTGCAAGCGCAGCCTGTTTGACATTGCACCTTGACTGATCGAGTTAGGTCATATTCATCACACATGTATCTCAATGTAGCAGACCAAACGAGCAGGAATTTCGATCGGATTTGGCAGAGATATTTCCCTTTAAGTTTAGCGAGAAAATTGGGACGTCACATCACGGGACATTCTCCTCACTTCATCCTGATGGGTACGTCAAGATAACATGCTGAAGACGACATGTATGGATTGCACATGGCGTCATTCGCACGATGTTAAATTATTCCTACTTGTTCCTTTAAAAAAAGACGGTTTTGTCGTTGCGTAGATTTGTTCAAACGGCGCAACTCCCCTCGGCTTCGCATCCGTTGACACAGAGCAAGCAAACACCCTTCTGCGCGTTGAAACCACTCGCCGAAACATTTTTTTTTTTTTTTTTAGGTGATAGTCCGTCCCGATAACTGTCAGTTCAACGGCAACCATCCACTTGACGTTAGCACTTCTTTAGGAAGGTTTCCCCATTATCTCCTTTCTAAAGAAACCTTCGAGAGCTGCGCAAAGACGTATGCATCCAAGTTCAAGTTTGGCTTTTTTTTTTTTTTTTTTGAAAGCATTGTAGTACCGTATCTGCTGGGTAAAAAGAACACACTCAGCGCTTTTATACTTCGTTTCTCCATATCTTGGCAAAGGGCGAATGCTACAGCCCCCTCGAGCCAATCATGGCAATGGAGTGAAGCGCACGTAACAGTACTCTGCAGGAGGACAGCGCTGGGACGTTAGGTTACCACGTGTCTCGTTCCAACGCCCTGATTGGCTCACTTGGGACGTAAGCCTCCCTCTTTGCCAAATGATCGTGAAACAGATTACAAGACTGCGTGTACGTTTTTAAAACGTATCTTCAGAATAAGAAGCTATGCCGGTAAAGTAAGAGTGAAATGGAAGCTCACCCAACTCTTTCAGCACGAGCGAAGCGAACGCTGAAGAGGAGGCGACCTCCTCTCCACCGTTGTTGTGAATCCACCATTAATGACCGGCTTACGCGACGGACTGACTCGGGGACGGAGTGATCACGTCCGCGGTTTATCCGTTTCCCAAGCGCATCCACACGAAGGAGACGGCGAGCAGACGACAGCAAGGATTATGGCAGAAGGAAGCTTCTGGAGGTGACATGACGCCAGAGGAGGTGAAGCCAGAAATGGCTTCATCTCTGGTCATCGTTGGGGCGGTGTCTCTCCACATTTCTTACTTCGCCTCTGGTGGAGTCATGTCACCTCCGCAAGCTTCCTACCTCCATGGCGAAAACAGACCGAACATGTTCGCGACTCCAAAGTGTCGCGAAACTCCAACATCGCACTGTGGCACCGTTTTCTATGAGGGAAATCGGTGTTTGCTACCGCGATAAAGAATATTGTGCCGCTATTATACACAGAGCGAGACACAACACCGCGATAGGCTTAGCGCGAGACACCAGCTAGCTTTTCTAATTAAAGTCATGACCGTGACACAGACGTGGTCCTGCTCGAGGAGGCTTCGGCGTAGACACGACGAAGTCCTGGGCTTGCTGAAGGGCGTAGGGGAGAGCGGCTCGGATGTCTTGGCGAATCCGGTGCGTCGGCTGCAGCCCCCTCCCTCCGCGCACCGCAATAATTCGACAGTGTGGAACGCGCGATGCGTATGCCCAGTCTCTCAAACGCGGACTTTCCATGACAATCGCGAACGATTTTGGACTGTAGGAGCGCTGTATAATGCAAACGAACAGGGCCGTGAGAATTCGCCTGATATAGTCTTGAATTAGATTGTTGCGTAATGTTTCGACCTGCTTTTAACTTGATGTGTTTGTTTCATCTCCGGAATCGGTGCCCATCTTGCTTTCCCACAGAACCCAGACTGACCATGTGGACCACGTAGAGCACACCGAATGCAGGCGATGTCGACGGCGATTCAAGCAGAGGCGGCTCTTCCGACTCAGGTGAGAAACAGCTGCACGTTGTCATTTAAGCAATTGGCGACGTCCGCGAACAAAAGCGTGGCTGTGATCGGCCATCCACGATTGGCAGAACGCGCACTATGATGTTTTGAGTGGGACCATTTCGGCTCTTATAGACAGAGATAAGAGCAGTGGCGGACTAGGTTTCCATCCCTCGTTTTACGCACCATCGGTCTTGTCGCTCGCTGCTAGTAATCCGGGTAGTGACGTCTGGAATAGGAACCATCAGAGGGCGCCATTGAAACATATCGTCGCCAATATATTACAGGGGCATCAAAAATTACAACAAAACAAACATTAGTATATCCGTTTTCTTTTCGAAACAAAATACCCACATTGACAGAGCGGAGTTTCTTGGGCAACATACATTACCAAAAAGTCGCGGCAGTCGAGAAGACAAAAAGGAAACGAACCGTGGTTTCACCACTTCAAATTACAAAATCAGTTACTAAGTTCCCGATTGAAATTTCAAACAGCCGGTCGGTTGGCCAAAAAATGCTAGCGAACAAAAAAAATATTTCAACAAATTTCATTTTGAGTAAAATAGTAAGTTGAGTTAGTTGGTTTTTAATCTCTAACGGAACGAAAAGTTTTATTTGAAAAGCACCAAGACGTCACTTACCCTTCCCCCACTCTTTCTGGAAAAATACAAATTCTTTATCAGGAAGGGCCAATGATGCCACACTAACCCACTTCCTTGGACCTCTTGTTTCTTATATCATAGGTCTCCTGTATCTCTTTCGTGGTTCTGTTTCTGTGTTTCCCTTTCTACCTCTTGCCCCTATTTCTAGGCGTTCACTTCGAGTAACTTTTGGGATTTTTGTGATTCTCGATTTGCCTTTCGCACCCGCGTTCCGGTCTTCAAATAGTTTGCGAAGCTAATATTTGAGATTCATTAAAAGTGATGTTAGATTAGATAATACCTAGGATTGCGTGTTTTCGGAGTTTATTTTTCGTCGAATTCAGAAGGTGTTTTTCGGAGTGTTCTGTTTTTTTTTATTTTTTCTTAGTTTATAGGAGTTTACTTTTGTTTGATTTCAAAGTCTTCAAAAATAGAAGCTTAATTTCGCAGTGTTTCTTATGACAAACAAAAAAAAAAATAATAATATCTGGGTATATATGCTAGATAAAAAAACTAAAACGTGCTTATATCAAATCATATTTCTTCCGCTGGTTTTGGTGTTGGTGCCATTGCCATTGGCAATACTAATTTGTCCCACGGCAAAAGTTGCACACATCTGTGGCTTGGATAAACGCCGACACCTTAAAAATAAACTCGTGGAGGTAGTCACTCGGAAGCACGTATTCATCCCATCCTATTCCATGCTACGCCGCGGTCGTGCGAGGTGGAGTGGTAAAGGATGTAATAGGGAAGCCCCTCTTCCAATTTTATGCAATCTCTAGGATCCATATATAGTTTTCGGAGTTTTTCGGATTTATTCGAAAACACGGAGCTTACGCGGAATGTATCACTAGTCCCTTTTATATATGTAAAAAACAGTATTCACACAACCGCGCCGCCCTTAATCTTTAGCTCCATATAAGAGGTATCTCGAGATCGAAGACAGATCAGAAAAAGACGGGAGCGGCGGGGATGGAGTTCCACGTGCGTCGGCTCCGGACGTTCGCTGCTATTTGTATGCTTTGTTTCCGAGCGCGGTTAAAGCCTAGAAGACTAATGAGCGCATACACGCAAACTAAACGCGCAAAGTTACGACCCTGGGCTTGAGGGGATTGAGTCGGCGGTCGAGCACACACAAAAAGATGACGAGCGGCGTGACGCTAAAGCTTTCAGCCACTATTTGATATGGACCTCGGCTCGGACCGTAGGGCGTCAACTGTCTTGAGCAAGGCCAGAAAGGAAGCCGAAATTTCACTCGGCCTTCGCGCATCTCCCAGCCGGGGCGTTGTCGGTTTAGGGCTCCCGCGCATGCGCGGCATTAAAGTTTGCGCTACTGAGGACGTATACGGTTCCTCGAGCTTCTTTCATGTAGCGCATTCATTGGCGTAATTCCGGTGTAATTCCACCTGTGTGTGGAGGGGAAACTATGTGCGAGTGCCCCTTCCCTCCCCCCCCCCCCCCCCCCCCTAAGTTTTAAAACCCAGCCACCCCGTCCCCCCGGTCAGTATTGAGGGATCTAAGCAGCAACGGAACCCGAACGGATTCGAGCCTGTCCTCGTCCCCGAAGAATGACCTAGCGCAGCCAATTGTCTACAGAACTATTTCAATACCAAAATAACAGAGAGGATAAAGGCGAGCTGCTGAACTTTTAACATCCAGGAAGCATGGGACCAAGGAACAAAGAACGGAGACCAAACATACAGGTCTCGAGATGTGTGCGTGTCATCCCCTTTTTTATTCCTGTCTCAAATTTCCAAAATGTTGATTCTTTTTTTTTTCAAATTTGTTGTTTGCAGGCGGCAGGCATATTTGCCTAAATATTGGTGCAAAATATGGGACAAGAAAGCTTTAGCCGTGAACAACAACAACAAACAAGAAATCGCGTCACCCGTTACGTTTTTGTCTTTTGTTTCTGTTGTCTTTTGTAAGAGTTCAATGCGGTCAACTACCACACGGGGAAGGCCCCGAGAACCTCCCCCGTGTGAATGTTCCTTAAATAGCAATAGGTGCCACGCGAAATATCTCGTTCAGTAGACACGGCAAAATTAACATCCAATGTGTTATTATCGAAATATGCACATTGACGAACTGGTATTCCTTTTTTTTTTTTTAACTTTTACACAAATATGAGGACAAAAAATTTTGTCAGATCACAGTGTAAAATTTCCGTTTAACTTATCTCACTGTGATAATTACAAAATTATAGCCACGTTCCCTACTGGGGGTACGCGAGACCTCCTGTAAAGTTTATTATTGCTGAATAGGAGGCTATGGCCTGTTTTGCCTGTACGTTGCGTTCATTTGTTATTGTGTTTTTCTTCGACGACCAAATAAATATACCATCTGCAAAAGAAAAAAAAAAAAGAAGGATCCAAAATGGCTGCCATGACAAGCTCTGTCCCCCCCACTTCCCCACGGAATTCGGATGGACTTAGTCGGCGTCGTTCAAACGCCCAGCTCTCTTCCGCCGTGACAAGCATATAGTTAATAGCCCCCATATAATAAGAACACGTGTACACTCCACCACGGTTGTTGTATGCATGTGTGCGGTCGAGGGCAACACCGTTATCGCAGCTCTACACCATCTAGAGTGGGAGCGTACTAGAAAGATCTGACAGGCCCTGCTTATCTGCCTTACCGACGGGGCCGCTATCTTTTCCGGAAACCGGGAGAGAGGGGTGGGTGATATCATCCGACGGTGACGCTTCGCTGCTCTACGTATGTCCCTCGGTTTTCTATTTAGGCCGACCGGACCTGCGTGTCGAGACTGCAGGCAGACGCTTCGCATATCATCTCCGTTGTTGCGCCCCGCCGGTCGCTCGGGCGCTCCGCCGAACACAACCCCATTGTGCGCCCGACACAATGGGGTTGTTTTTGTTTTGTTTTTCTCTTCCCTTCGATCGACCAGATCCCGCTTGTTTCCTTTGTCTCGATTTTCTCTTTACCTTCTATCTCCGTAAGCGCGCTCTTCTGTTATTAGTTTCACCCGAACCCCGTCCGTGACCTTGTTTTCGGTTGCAACAAAAGTAGTCCTACACAATAAATAATTAAATAACCTTGGGCGTTTTACTTTTTTTTAATATTGAAAATCGCCAACAGTTGTGGACAAAAATATTGTTCTACACGCGTTGCACAGACAAAAACAGACAGAGGGAGAGAGAGAGAAGTTCTTCACGAACTATTCCTCGCGTTCATAGATGATGATGAGCTTCAACGGTGCTCTTCTAACGTTGCATTCTACACCAACATGATTGCTGATCTTAGCAGCCAATACATGTGAGCTCGTTCTTAACATTCGCTGGGGGCAGTGCACTCAAACATGAGTCCGGTGATCGTTTTAGCTCGTTTAAAAGACAGCAAAGAGTCGTTTTTGAGGAAATTGGCATCGCGTGACTTGACGTCGGACAATATTTTTTATTAATATTTAGTAAAGAAGTTGACGTTACATGACGTGGTCACGGAACCTCACTTCAGAGGACGAAAGTGTTCCGCTAAATTAAGCTTGGAAATTTTGCGCTGCGTGAGGTCACGTTATGTTAGGTGACGTGACGTTAATTTCTTTGCTAAATGAGAAAACATTTCCAGTCACATCCAGTCATGCGCGGCCCTGAGGAAAAACAAAAAACTTCAGGGAGAGAGACAGGCAACGTTTGAACTTTATAGCCCTATATAATTATATTCTGTTCTAAAGTATGGTCTAATGCAGGGGTGGCCAGGCTGACCCGGTCTAAGAGCCGCAAACAAACCACGAAACTTCCAAGAGCCGCGGGGGCGCAATTTTTTGTCCAGTGCAATAAACGAAACTCTAGCTACTTTCAATCTATCCGAGTCAAAAGCCGTCCAGCTGTACGTAAGGTGGCAGTAGCAGAACAATACCAAACCGCTACCTGTCTTTCGATTCAAAACGCGTTCAATTTCTCTTTTTGGGGAAGTGCTCGTGTGACAGGAAAACAGGCGGGGGAGGGGGGGGGGGGGGGGGGGGGAGAAAAGAGAGCCGCGAGCCGCACTTTAACACGCGAAAAGCCGCAGCTTGGCCACCCCTGGTCTAATGGAATCTCCCCCTCCCCCCCTTCCTCAGAAATATGTCCGCTGTCCGTCGTGAATTTCCTAGCAAAATCTAGCGAGAAATTTTTGCGTCACGTGACATTCTCGTGACATTCCGACTTGGCACCGTGACGTCACTGTGTCGAGTCGTGACGTATCATGATATCGTGGCGTCAGGTCACGTGACATCAATTTTACCGCAAACTTTAGCGAGGGAAAAAAACGAACAATATGTTTTCGTTCAATCACCGAATCGACTTTTAAAGTCTCCTAAAAAGATTTAACCGATAGCTCCTTTCATCCTGAATCTTTATGTGTTATATAGGACTTTGGAGATAAAGAAAGGGCACTGATTTTAGGGAGGCTGTCTCGGTAGGTGCTTCCTCAAACTAAAAATAAAAAAGCAATGCGCCGAGAAATTGAGGGAGATAAGGAGACGAGAGCTCGCGGGTGGCGTCACAACACCAAGCTCTGGGTCCAATGATTTGAGGGGGTAGGTTTAAAGCCTTAGCTGCCTCGGCCTCCAAGGAACTCGTCGAACGCCTTAGAACGCGAGAGGCAAGAGCCGGACGCCGGCGTTTCAAGTTCAAGCGCGTTCGACGAGAGCAGTGGAGACAAAGCCAGCTATGCGGATCGCAAGTTCGTCTGCTTCCTGCACTGGGGTCGAAATGTTGTCAAAACGCCGAGCTCTTATTAGCTGATTAAAAGATGGGTAGACCTTAAGGCATCTAGCATTGAGGTCTATAAGCCACCATCCCTTCAATTTATTGCCAATCAGTGCTCGGCGTCGTTCTGACGTCACCGCAACTCCTGCCCAAGAAGCAGACGACTTGCTCACCGCATAGCTTTAGACGAGAACATGACCCCGAGTGTTCCCTTCCCCTCCTCTCTCTCCATTTCTCGGCACATGGAACGACTGAACACGACTCGTTTCGGTAATGGGTCTAGCACAATATTAAGTATCTCGGTGCGTAGAATAGTCACCATACAATGGGCCCCGTCCGTATATCTGATCTTAGCGGGCATGGTACACGTCGTATTCGTTGTTGTCGTCAGGGGAACGCGCGGTTGAGGCGGGTACGGCGATCCGTATCGTCGTCAGTAGAGAACCCAGGTTTAACGGAGGAAGCAACTCGGACCGCGAAGAGCTCTTGCCGTTTAATGGCAGACCGCCTCCTACGGCGCGGATCGGATGTTGTCGCGCGTCGCGAAGGGCTGGCGTATAGGCTGAGCAAAGGTAGAGACGCTTCCTGACGATCGACGATTTTACCTTTTCCCTTTTCCTCCTCGCGGCTCGTTGAATCGCAAACGCGGCCCACAAACCACGGGACCTTGATCGAGCAGATGGAAACGCCATCTAAATCTGGGCACATCGTCCTCCGTTTCGCTTTGCCACGGACCGCAGAGGGACGTTACACGAGACGTCGGAGCCAATCGAACGCCCGGCGAGTGTCACGTGACCGCCCAATAATAAAAAAAGGGTGCGGCCGTATCCATTCATGCCCATTAAGCCGTTGATAGGGGATCCTCGATCCGACCCAAGCGGCGAACGCGCTGAAGCTTGACGAGAGTGTATACGGCGCGAACCAACAGACACGCGCGTTTTGGCGTCGCGCTTCGTTGGGAAACGCCAAGGTCTCATTGGTTCTGAATGAAGGATGGTGGGTAGTCCTCAAGGCAGCTTGCTTTGACGTGTACCCCCTATTCTTCAATTAGAGCCAATCAGAGCTCGGCGTTCTGACCTCACCAGAACCCCTGGAAAAGAAGCAGACGAACTTGCGCTCCACATAGGCGGCTCTGCGTCTTATGGGTGGTACATGCCTAGCACAAGTTCGTCTGCTTCTTGAACGGGGGTTGCAGCGATGTCAGAAGGCCGAGCTCTTACTGGCTGATTGAAAACAATGGTAGGTGGACCTCGAAGCATCTAGCATTGAGGTCTGCGCACTATTTGTTTCAACCAGAGTCAATCGGAGCTCGGCAGACTGCTTGCTCTCCTCTCCGCATTGGTTGGCTACGATAGCTCGTAGCGTCCATAGCGGTCCGTCGCGAGGTGAAATGAAAGGGTCGTTTCGTCGTGCATGTTGCGTGCGTCTCTCCCGCCCTCGTTCGCATGAGGGGACTTCGATCAACAAGCCTATTTCGTTCTTTTTTCTCCCCATTGTAGGGTGCTCGATGAAGCGGCGGCCTTGGTCGATCCTGGAGAGTGTAGCGGTACATGCTCGTCTAGCCCGAACGATCGGGAACCCTGAATACACAAGATTCTTACTTCTTAGGGACGGCAGAAATTGAAAACGTTAGTCGAAATGTGCCACTGTCGCCCCACATTGAAATAACTTTGTATAAAGACAGTTGCTTCATGTTTTTGTATTACGTAGTAAACACACTTATTTTTTTTTTTTTTTTTTAGAATATACCGAGTATATGCGATCTGTTGGGCGGTGGTTCAAGAAAGCGCCTTAACAGTTTTTTTTGTTTTTTTTTTTTGTCTACAATTTTATTTTATTTGGTGATAAATGTATACGGATAGAAATAGAGGGAGAGGATGAGACGAGAGAGCCCGGAGAAGTCAGAACACCCAACTCTGGTTGGATTCATATTAGTGGGTCTCTAATCGCTGTTCGGATGTGTTCGAAGGCAAAAACCAGAACGCCAAACGCTGACATTTCCTTGTCCTTGTTCTTGTGCGCTTTGTTTATTACACTATGTGTAGACAACTACAGTGACTACCGGGTTGAGAACGGCAAGGATATCCTCTAGCTCTGCCGCTTCCAGCGTGAGCTTTCACTCTTCGATAACGCTCCGTGCGTTCTCTAGCGCGCTTGCGCGGCAGCCGAAACACGTCGAACGACAACGATGACGTGCTGTGTAGGCCTGGCATCCGAAGAAGATGCCCTTAACTTCTCATCCTGTCGGTGACGATCTCCTTTCGGCTGATTTTGGATCTCGAATACGATTCAATCTGTTCCTTCTGCAGGGAGAGTCCCGCCGATTCCCAAGTCAAGTCCTTCGAAGAAGAGCAGATGGGCGCCAAGGCTTCGACGTCGAGCCGGCTGGCCTATGCCTTCTTCTCGATCATCAGGGAGATCCTGCAGTACCCGTGGGGTGCCGACGCCCTCTTCATGGTAGCGCTCGTGCTGCTCGCCTCGCTCCTCGTCATCTTGTACTACATCGTCGCCGTTGTGCTGCCCATCCTCGTGCTGGCCGTCATGCTGGCCATCCTGAACTCCGTGCTTCTGGAGAGCAGCTACTGCGGACGCTTGCTCCGCCACCTCAAGCTTGCCTAGTGAAATTGTGAAATTGATTCTGGTGTGCGGCGGCATGGTCGTAGCCTCGTATTACTAAATCGTTCGTAGCCTCGTATTACTAAATCACAAGCCAAACGGATTTTTTTTAAATCTGACCTGGGCAGGAAACGGGTAATGAAACTGAGTATGCGCTGGGGAACCAGAGCATTTCAGAACCACGAGATCGGTTGTTTAGTTCCTCGTTGAAGACGAGTTTCTCTTCGACATGAATGTCATTATTGTTGCACGCTTCTGCATCATTTTGTAGCCATACGTGATATGTAATATGAAACTCTGAATATGCACACACCGCACTGCTTTCGCAACTTATAAGGGGAAACACAAAAGGTGCGAAGTAGTAAGTACTTATAGTTCTGGACATTCGCCGCCGCATTTACGCTGGCGCTGCCTTCCTTACCTGCTCCCCCTGGTCAGCAGATCGCTAATTCGTGAGGCTTGGGTGATTCAACAGACTATAACATTGTTAAAGACGTCTGATAGTAAGTGTTGGGAGGTGTGACACCACTCGAAACGAGCTAGGGGCTCTTACGTCATGAAGCGCGTTGCGTGGTACGCTCGCTATTCGCCGTGTTGTGTCAATTAACCTATCCCGGACCAAAGTGTCTTGATTCGAAGACTCATAACATTCATTTGCTCGGTTGGTTCACCTCGTATAAGGCATCGGCCCTTGCACTTTTAATTCATTTTTCTGGAATTTAATTTTGTTTGAACAGGCAGGGCCGCGACAACACTACATCTGTGTTCCAAGGAAAAAAAAATCTTATTTTTAAATCAAAGGGCTAAAGTAAACGCGAGGGTAAGCGTTCGGTATACCGTGCATGCCTTCCCCTGTGTCTTGTGTGTACATCCCTTCTGGGATTAAGCACATCCGTAGTGCAGTGATAGACAATGCGTTTGAACAAGAATTGGTCTTTTAAGAAGCCTTGAAATACGAGGCTGCATTTGTATTTGCGTCAATTTGCTACTTTTTTGTATTTTGCTGTACATCTTTGCTTTGTTCTGGGTGCATAATGTTTGTGTGGGTGCGTGTGTGTGTGTGTAAGACCTAGGTTGTGAACGTAGAACTTTGCATACTCGATGTAGTGTGAATGATTTTATTTAACTGAACAAGGTTGTGTACAATTTTCACGTGTATGTACAGGGTAGTTCTGTTGACAGACATGTGCTGTTATCTTGTAGTTGCGTACGGCTGCGCGCAGTTAAGCTATCGAAAGTGTTCATTAGTTTAGTTAAAAAGTAAGCCTAGCATCTTGTATTGCTATTTGTCTAAATGAGTAGCGATTTTTAAAATATGCATGTTGCTACAGTGGTAGCCAGAATAGTAACTTGCAGCTTGTGGTGCCGTCTTTGCAGAGATGTCTGAAGTAAACGCACTTTGACTTTTTGTCTTTGTATTGCTGAAATATAGGCATTTGGGATCCCAAGCACACTCACACGTGCGTGCAGGGATGCGCAACAGTCATTTAATGTGAACACATGCTATTGTTTATAGATCTTTTTGTTTATGATGGTACCATTGTGTAGTGCATATATGTAGACCGAGCATTCCAATTACAGTAAAAAAGCAAAGTTGCGACGTGCCATAAATATGTACCCAGGCTGCGCAGAATCCATAGGCTTACAGCATACCTCGGCGAAACTCATAGCAGAGATATTTCCACAGTAAAGCATGTCGCGCAAATACCGTGAGCAGCCTTTAATGTGCAATGCTAAAAAACAATGCTACAGCCGTTTCGTCCTATAGGAAGTATTCACTGGCGGTCATAGCTGTGTGCGCGACTGCTGAGCGCGTGCTAATGGCTAGTTTCCAGGGTTTTTTTGCAACGTGCATTCCACACCGTCAAAATGGCCGGTCTTAGCAGCCTATTAAAGGTGTATCCACATGACAGACCAAATTGCTGTTTTGGTCCGCGGTCCGCGCATCACGTTATCTTACGTCACCGTTCTTCGAGGTCCGCCGGCGGTCCGCGGCCCGCGCTTCTGAGAAATGCCAAGCGACTTTCTCGCCCGGACCTTGGCGGCGGACCGCGGCGTTTTTAGCATAATTGAAGCGCCCAGTCTCGCAACAAGCAGACTTTTGTTGTTTAGATTGAAATCCAAAGCCAAAGTCGTTTTCTTTTGGCGCCGACTGTTGAAGACGAGGAAGACGAACCTTTTGTTGTGCGACGATGCAACTTTTTACTTCATCGAACTCATGAAGCAATTCCCCGCTCTGTGGGACAATAGTCGCGACGACTACTCAAATAATCATCTAAAGATGTCCCCATGGCTTTTTCGGTTCACCTAAGTCCTCCTCGTCCTCAATAGTCAACGCCAGGGCCATTGCGGCCAAACGTCTCTTTCGTTCAACCTCCATCTTGGCTCCTTACAAATAGCCTCAAAGCAGCTCGCTGCATGCGTTTGGCCGAGCAGTGAGGTCGAGGGTTAGACCGGCCCGTTCGCTCTGTCGTCTTCACTTTTGGTCCGCCGTGTGGATGCTCATTGCAGCCGGGCGGCCCGCGGGCCGCGCATCACGTGATCAATCGGTCCGCGGCCCTCTCCGTCGTGTGGATACACCTTAAAGCCTAGTTCACATGCAGCGGTTTTGGCCCTAGAGCGGCGCGATTTCTGCCGTCGCGGCGCTCTGGCCAGCACCAGCAATACTGCGGCACGAGCGCCGCGACGGCAGAAATCGCGCCGCTTTAGGGCCAAAATCGCTGCATGTGAAACACGCTTAAGGGTACTCCGGCGATTTTTCGAGGTACCTCAACTAACTATATTTTCTGACTCCCCGGCCTTTACCCTTTCCGGTACGCTATTTAGTATCGCGAAATTCATAATAGTTATTGCGAAATCGGCAAATGAAAATGATGCAAAAACCAACATTCAAATATACCCGCACTTTTCAGTACCGTGACGTCAGTGGAAGGCAAGCTTGCCAGTCGAGCGAGCAATCTAAAAAACAAAATGTGCCAATCATTTGTTCCGTGCTGGAGCACGGGTCCTGGAGCGAGCTTCCAAGGCATTCATTTGACACCATGAAACTGCTTCGAATCAGTTGGGAACAAATTCTACAGTCCAAAGAGTGAACCCCTGCACTTCCACTGACGTCACTTTTTTCTTGTTGCCAGTAGAGACTTTCAGTTTGAAAAACACGGTGAGGACCAAAATTGTAAATTCAATAACTTCGTGAAAAAAAAAAGTTATTTTGACCTAATATTTCGGATACTATTTTGGCGATGTTGTTTGGTGAGTTTAGCCAAATTTAAGCAAATCGGGGACCATGAAGAAATCGCCGGAGTACCCCTTTAATTAATGGGGGCTCGTTCTGAGCATGCGCTCTAGACAGCACCCACAAATATGGCGCCCAGTGAATACTCCTTATACCGGGTTTCTCGGTTAGGATCGTAGTGTTGCGGCAAAGCGACAAGATGTGGTGGTGCTGGCACTGTGCTGATACACCTTCTTAACGTACGCTGTGCTGTGTCTGGCGGTCAAGGATCATGTAGTCAAGGGGGATACATTTAAGTGTCCCTGTACAATCGCGATGCGTCTCTTCCGGTCCCGAAGATTAAAATTAATTTGGCATCACTAACCTACAACGTTTGTTGCAAGGGGGCTAATGCTACCGTGTGTAGAGAGACACTTCGAGGGGCGTTAAACTTCCTTCTCCTTTTCCTGAGAAGAAGAAAAAGGAGAGAATAATAATTGCAGCGCAACATTTACGTCATGCGACACGTGTGCGTGAAGTACGATTCCGAAGTGTGGTTTTATTTCGGCGCTTCGTACCAAAATGGAAGCATGATATAGAAGCACGTGACAATTCTCAGATTTATTCGCGACCTACTAGATATTCCACAATTATTTTTTTTTTATTTTTTGAGGAAAATGTATTTTAAGAGACACGTACGCTACCTAACAAGCACCTTACTATTTCGTTTTTATTTTATTATAGTGTTGTGTTTTCCTAAAAACATGTGTTGTGTTTGTCTGGCACCCTCAACGTCTGCCTTGACGCATTGCGACGTTTCGATATATACGGCACGTGGGATTATCCGGGAGGAATCAAAAATTAAGTTTGGCTTTGGTTTAAGGTTCGGTGATTTCAGTACGTAGAGATGGCAGAAGAAATGCAAAACAAAATACGTAATAATGTCTTTTTTTTTTTTTTTTTTTGGGGGGGGGGGGGGGGTTTGTTGGTAATACAGAATGAATCGTGGCACAAGCGTACATCGAAACAGCCCCACAATTCCCTTCGCCGCGACGTCTCCCGGGATTATCCGAAAATTTTCGATTTGAAATAGCGACTTTTTGAGCTCAAGAGATAAGATGTCGGGAAGCTCGGGCGCTGTCGTGTTGCCCTGTCGAGGACTACCAACATTTCCGGAGGGCAGAAAGGCGATTTTTTTTGCGATTTCAGATAAATCTTCACTCAACTGGGTTCAACCACCCTGACACGTTTTGATCAGGATGAGCGTGGTACCTGCATGCGGTTGTGTACCAGTACTGCCTGATGCACGACGAGGATTCCGCGGGCTATACTTTATAGCCGCGGCGCTGCACTGGCTAAATTTCTCGTGTACAGCGGAAACACTAGTCACCATACAACACGATTTTACACAATCGGCAACAATGGTTTAGACTTTAGAGTATCAGAATTGAAAGATGGGCTCGTTGGTGCATCGTTGGACGGAAGCGCCGAACAAACGGGCGAAGAAGTAGACAAAGCCGTGGCGTAACATGTTTCCGAAAAAAGTCCATTGTGAGATTTGTCTTTGTCTATCTCTTCGTCCCTGCTTGTTCGGCGCTTCCGCCCATCCATGCGGTTAGAGCACAAAGATGGCTGGAAAGCCCTTACGGATGAAGCCCGGCTTTTGTAGTGGCTCTATTTCCCGCCGGTCACTCAGCCGGCGAGTGTGCCAGCCTATCGCGAGGTAGGCTGTACTCCGTGGAGCGAATATGCGGCTAAAGTGAACTAGAGGGGTAGTGAGGTTAGACAACGACGTGCGTCATGCATTGCTATGAAGCGGCAAGCGTGGAAAAGCCTTGGATGATCCGAGCGTTCCGAGGGCCTTCGGCGAGAAGGTTTTGCTTGGCGGTTTGGCAGCGCGAACTGGCTCCCGTTTATATCTTCCCCCGTGTTTTCTGTCGCTTAGGCCGAACGCAGTGCAATGCCGAATCGACTACGACAACGACAATAGCAGTAGCACAGTAAAGGCACTGCGAAGCTTGTGGTACTACAGCCCATGCTTTAGTGGCGCCCTCTCGTGTCGTCCACACGAAGTGTTGCAGCCGTCAGCGCTCGCTGAGCTCGCTGCCCTTCCTCTAGTTCCCTACGCTGCGAAGAACCAACGAACTTCGCCCGGCAGCGGGATATCGGTGCCCGAGTGGGCTAGCGCACACCTGGCGCATACCAGCTCGGAGCACGTGGGGCGAAAGCTCGCGCTACAGAACCCAGGAATCTTGGTTTCCATCCCCACCCCTGGTATTCGACATACCGACGACACGCGCCGAGGGATCGCCGCCGCGCGAAGCTTGTCGATTTTTTTCTCTTCATGGAGTCCAGCCTTAACCCGTTTGGGATATCTGTCGGACGAAGGTTATCTGTGGAAGGACGTTTATGAGTGCATTTACGAGGCAAAGAGTGCAATTTCTGGTTCGCGCGAGCCATGCGTGGATAGCAATGTTTACATCGTTCTCGACGTATTTTGGCTGCTTGCCAAAAAGGTTGTTTATACGGAGTGCAAGATCGTCTGCTTCTTGCAAAGGGTTTCCGATGATGTCAGAACGCTGAGCTCTTATTCGATGATTGAAAAAATAGTGGGTAGACCTCAAGGCACCTGGCACTGAGGTCTACCCGCTATCCTTCCAATCTAAGCCAATCAGAGCTCGGCGTCGGTTCGACGTCGTGCAACGCCTGCGCAAGAAGCAGTCGACTTGCTCTCCGTGTACTCCGTTCACTCCTAAGGTGACAGTGCGATGGAAGCTACGTGCTCGCTTGATCAGTCACATGTCGATATTTCGCCACGTCATTACGCTCACGTCCACAGCCCCGTACAGAGTACGTCAGCTGGTCGAAGGGAGGTGGCGTTCGCGTTCGAGTGGAGAGTTGTGACAAAGGCAGCTAGCCTTGCGTCTGGCCGCCACATCCGCAAATAAAATTACTGTGACGTACTTACAGTCATTTAATTACTGTAGCCACAATACACTCCTTTAATTACTGTAACTACAATACAGTCATTTAATTACTGTAACTACAATACAATCCTTTGATTACTGTAACTGCAATACAGTCCTTTGATTACTGTAACTACAATACAGTCCTTTAATTACTGTAACTACAATAGAGTCCTTTAGTTACTGTAACTACAATACATTCATTTCATTACTTTTCGCAGTAATGAG